GATACAAGTTTGGTTGTCACTTACCTGTGAAGCGAGTTGAGCAGACCCACGAAGGAGGAAGAAAGCGGCCATAGCCGCGGAGCTGTATCACGGAGTGACGCAGGGGACAGAGAAGGAGGGACCGAGGAGAGAGATAGAGGAAGGGGTATTGGAGAAGAAGACAGACATAGCCGAGGTGCAAAAAAACAAAACAAAACAAAAAAAAAACAGCAAGGAAGAAGAAGGTGAAGGTAGGGGAAGAAAGAGACAAGGGCGGTGAAAGTGAAGGTGCCGGCAACCATAGCCGAGGTGGAGAGTTGACCGGCGGGTTGACCGGACGTTGGCCGGGAGGTTGACCAAGGAGTTGACCGGCGCCGTTGACCAAGACTTTGACCAAGCTAGAGTTGGTAATATCTCGCCAAGCCCTTAGCCTACCCCCTCACCCTGTGGATGTGCACTCGCCTGGCGGTACTTGCTGAGTCTGAGTTTGTCTGTCTCTTCTTTCTGCATCGAGTCTCTCCTGTCCTAAGTGATAGTACTCTGTGCATGAAGGATAGGTCTGGATGACGAAACCTTAGTCTGACCTTGTAGGGCTGAGACTGTGGCTGATCCAACTTTCCAGGGGGGCATAACCCTCCCAAGGACCGGTGCTGACCGGCTGGAAACGGTTGGTAGGACTCAATGGGCCTGAACGACAGCTAAGGCTGACACACCAGACAGTCTTTAAGTGTTGAAGGCCTGTTTGAACCACTCCCCTACCGGACCTAGTAAGGCTGAGGATCTGTGTCTGACGATTCGACTGTCCCGGGGGATACGAACCCTCCCAAGGACCGGTACAGACCGGCGGGCTGCTCGGTGTGGCACAGTAGGCCGGAACGGCTGAGTTGTGGGCTGAAAGCACAGGCAAGAACCAGGCTGATCACGTCGTCCTGTCTGCGACGTTAAAGAATTCTTGCGGAGTTAGGGGGATCTCCTTAAATGCCTCCAGATCAGCCTCTGGTTCAGTAGTGACAGCCTTAGAGAAGGTCTAGAATAGTGACCACAGTTGACAGGGTTCCACCCTGTGGTCCCTAGAGAGTCAGTCAGTGTGTCAGTGTCCGGGTAGGTCTAAGTGGTGAGAAGTGGGACTCCTTGTCGTGCACCTGACACCACCATGGATGACTATCCGATGTATGGGTTACTTGTTGGGTTCTCCTTGTGGGGGACCCTCTGGCGTCTCCTCTTCCCCCTAGGGTTCTGGCCCACGCTCACGTGTAGAGTAGGCACCCGGGGCAGCACCTCCACTGCGCCTTACACAAAGGAAGAGGAGGAGAAGATGGCCGCCATTCTGAGGGGAAGGAAAGAGAAGAAAGAGGCTAAGAAAAAGGCCCTACAGGAGGAGCAGGCGGCAAAGTTGAAAAAGATAGAGGAGGAGATGGCCAGAGAGAAGGAGAGGTTGAAGAAAGAAGAAGAAGCGAAGTTGAAGGTGGAAGAAGAAGAGGAGGAAGATGATCAGCCACTGGAAAGGAGAAGAGAGCAGCGAGGGAAGTACAATGGCAGCAAGAGTGAGGAGATGGAGAAGAGGATCTCAGAATGGGTCGCCAACTTGTCCTTGGGGGAAGAAGAAAAGGTAGCCATGTACATCCCCAAGGATGAGCAGGAAGCCGCTATGCAGGAATGGGATGCAGAAAGAGATGCTTTGAAGCGGCAGACGATGGAAGATGAGAAGAGGATGGAGTGGTAGTTAAGGATGATGAGGGAGAAGAAGAAGACTGTGGACACGGCAAGTGATGCGGTCAAGGAGTTAGAGGAGGTGCAGAAACCTAGTCTACAGTTGACTCCTCAGGTGGACCTCGAACGGAAGGTAGAGATCATTGCCCAGAGTGTCGAGCGCTTGGCTCGAGTGCAGGAAGAACAGTATGAGTTTAGTAGAAGTCAGGATATGGCCGTGCGTTCGATGCGGATGGGATTTCGGGAGTTTGCTTGCGAGCTGGTAGGCGCAGTAGGAGCCGAGGTGAATCATCACCTCGAGAAGACTGAACGCTTCTACGTCGGCGCCATTGAAGGCCTCAAGGCGGCAGCTCCCAAGGAGGAAGAGGCACGTCCTCGCCGGGAGCCAGTCAAAGTCAAGTTCCCCGATTCCTACAGTGGAAAGAGGGAAGAGAACTTTGACGATTGGGAGGCCAACGTGAAGACCTATGTGCATTTGCAACAGGTCTCCCCAGATCAGCACGTGTTAATTGCCATTCATGCACTTAGAGATGAGGCCGCCAGTTTCGCAAGGTCACTAGTCCGCACTGCCAACTACAACAATGATGCAGTGGCCTACTCACTGTTCACTCCCCTCGTTGATTTCATGAAATTGCTGCGCGAGCGATTTGCTGATGTTGCTCGCAGTGTTAAGGCCTCAGATAAGCTCCAAACCATCCACGCTTGTAAATGGAAGAGTGCCAGGGCACTCAAGGGCACGATGGATGAATTAGTGGCTGTCCTTGACCATGGGGTCACAAAGGCCCAATTGGTTGGCCTCTTCTATCGGGCTATGCCCGAAGCCTTTCGAGGGTAGTTCTTCACGAAGAGCGAAGACCCTGCCACCACTTATGATTCCCTTAACCGTGAAGTGGTGGCCTTTGAGGCGAAGTCGGTGTCACTTTCTATCTTCTGGTACAAAGACCTCGACAAAGGGAAGCAATGGAAAGGCCGCACTATCTTAAGGCAAGTTAAGACTAAGGATAGTCTTGTCCTTACTCTAGATGAAGGTAGTGTCGACGAGATCCCCTACGGCCAAATTGAGTGGGAGTTAGAGGATGAGGATAGCGGTGCGAGTCAGGGGAGAACTTACGTTGCTGTCGCGGCTGGAGGGAGGCCGCAAGGAGGAGGACGAGGTCAGGGCCAAGGGGGCCGGGCCTCAGGGAGCCGGTTTCAGGGCGATCAGGGGGTTGGCGGCAGAGGAGGAAACCGCCAAGCGGGAGGAAGGGGTCAAGGTCCCCCGCAAAACCATCCTAGGAATAGGTCTCCCTATAGGGTAGGTGGATGGCACCCAGGGGTACTGCAAGGTAGGCCTTGGGAATCGTTGGGTCTGGACCAAGCTTTATGGCAACAACGGTTGGACCGGGGCCAGTGCATTTATTGCGGTGACCCGGGCCATATCATTAAATACTGTCTTAAGTATAGAGAGACCCGGACGGCTGCTCAAGGGCCAAAAGGCAGCCGCCGGTAGGGGTAGCAACTGCCCCTACCATTAGGCCATGTGGGGAACATAGCGCTAGCCGGCAAGAGACTCCCACACCACATGTGCCTATGGCAGAGGTTGCAGGCCGGTGTCTAGATCGCTGTCCAGAGACTGCTTGTGTTAGAGTCTCTCTAGACACCTCCCTCACAGGCGTGGCTGAAGAATTGAAGGAGAGGATGCCCGCCTGGGCCAAGATGAAGAAGGAGAATAAAGGGCAGCTTATATTAGTAGACACAGAGATCTTTAGGAGTAGAGTAGGGGCCCCTAGTAGATTCAGGGGCCACCCGCAGCTATATCAGTAAGAAAGCGCTGCAGAAGTTGAAGCTGGGACTTAAAGTCCAGAAATTAGCAGACCCCATAGTTAGTATCCTCGCTGACAACCGTACAACGGTTGTAGAGGATTATGTAGATGGAGTCCAAGCGTATTTCCGCCTAGAGAAAGATGGGAAAGTGGAGAAGGTCCTCCACTCCCTGACTCTCCTTGTAGAAGACAGCCTCCCATTCGATATCGTTATGGGAATGGATTGGGGAGAGGCAGCCGGGGCCACGCTCCATTTGAAAGAGCACGAGTGTAAGCTCCCTAGTCCTTCAGGCGAGGCTAAGACTGCCCGCCTGTTCCATGTGTCAGGAGTAGAGAATTCCCTGGCACATTGCTGCCTTAGTGCACCTGCATTCGCGAGATTCGTGAAGAAGGAGCACCTAGAAGAACAGGTATTTGTAGCCTATGTTAGGCCAGTAGCTGAGCCTAAGGAAGAGAAGCCTATAGACCCTGCTATTGCCAAACTGCTGGAGGAGTTTAAAGATCTAGCTAAGCCGCCGACATGAGTAGTAGCGCGGCCCATCCAGCATCGCATTGAGATAGAGCCTGGCAGTAGAACTCCTAAGGGTGCGGTGTACAGGATGTCCCCGCGAGAGTTGGAAGAGCTACGGAAGCAGTTGGACGAGCTTCTCGAAAAGGGTTGGATTAGGCCCAGCTCGTCACCATTTGGAGCACCTGTTCTCTTTGTCCCCAAGAAAGAGGGAGAGTTGAGGATGTGTATAGACTATAGGGGTCTGAATGCTGTTACAATGAAGAATGTTGAGCCACTGCCTAGGATAAACAACCTCTTGGATCGAGTGCAGGGGGCAAAGTACTTCTCCAAGATAGATTTAAAGTCTGGATATCATCAGCTAGAGGTACATCCTGATGATCAGTATAAGACAACCTTCCGGACTAGATATGGGCACTACGAGTTCATAGTGATGCCCTTTGGACTAACCAATGCGCCAGCGACGTTCCAGCGCTGTATGAACGATTTGTTTAGGCCATGGTTAGATAGATTTGTTGTTGTCTACTTAGATGATATCTTAGTGTTTAGCAAGACCCTCCAAGAACATCAGGGTCATCTCAGGTAGGTCTTGGAGAAGTTGAGGGAAGCTAACTTCAAGATCAATGCAAAGAAGTGCGATTGGGCGAAGACCCAAGTTTTATATTTAGGCCACGTCTTAGACGGAGATGGCGTTAAGCCAGAAGATTGCAAAATTGCAGCGATTAGAGATTGGCCCGCGCCCTCGTACGCTAACAGAGTTGCGGTCGTTCTTGGGCTTAGCTAACTACTATAGGAAGTTCGTGAGGAACTTCTCCACTATCGCTGCGCCCCTTCGCAGACTGCTCAGGAAGGAGACCATCTGGAAGTGGGACAAGGACTGCACGTCTGCTATGAAGAAGTTAAAGCAGGCACTAATAGAGTATCCAGTCCTAAAGGTAGCCGACCCGTCCTTACCCTTTGTCGTTAATACAAACGCTAGTCAGTATGGCATAGGCCCTGTGTAGCAGCAAGACGATGGCAATGGTTATAGGCCCGTAGAGTTCATGTCTGCCAAGATGCCTTCAGAGAAGGTTGCGACATCTACCTACGAGAGGGAACTCTACGCTCTCAGGCGAGCATTAGAACATTGGAAGCACTACTTGCTTGGGAGGCACTTCAAAGTCTATTCCGACCACGAAACGTTAAGATGGTTGAAGATGCAGGCCAAGATGACACCTAAGCTTACTAGGTGGGCCGCAGAAATAGACCAGTATGATTTCGAGCTCAAGCCAGTCAAAGGGAAGTATAATGTAGTTGCGGATGCTCTGAGTAGGAGAGCTGACTACTTTGGAGCAATAGTTCACTATCAGGATATAGGGAGAGACCAGCAGGAGAAAGTGAAGCAAGCGTATGTGCAGGACCCATCTATAGTGACCTCCTAAAAAGAGTTAGAGAGGCCCCAGAGATAGAACCAGATTACCGCACTACAGATGGATTGGTGTTTGAGAAGACTAATGTGTTTGACCGTCTGTGCGTCCCCAACAGCAAAGAGATTCGCAGTCTGATTTTAGCCGAAAAGACATTAGCCAACCTGATGCGTGCGTATACTTGGCCAGCGATGAAGAATGACTGCGTAGAGTATGTCCGCAGATGTAAAGTATGCCAGAGAAATAAGTCTACTACGCGCGCGCCCCTAGGTCTTCTCAGGCCTTTGCCTATTCCGGACCAACCGGGAGACTCAGTGTCCATAGACTTCATGGACACTCAAGTCAAAAGCAGACATGGTAAGAGCCAAGTCATGGTCATAGTTGACCGTTTTAGTAAATATGCTGTCATAGTAGGCCGTAGCTGTAAACTGTCCGAAGGGTCAAAGTCGTAGCTGCTACTTACCTGAAAGGGCAGAGTCGTAGCTGCTACAGTACCGAAAGGCCAGGTAGAGGTTTCTAGAAGTGGCCTTTCGGAAGTCAGCCCACTGTAAGTCTAGGCAAGTGGGCAAGTGGTGGAAGTCCACCACACAGAGTCAACAGTCCCAGTCCAGCTAGTCCAGTCCAGTCAAGCAAGTACCGCCTGGGACTGTGTACACCATGGGCCAGGGAAACAGGGCGGACCAACGAGTCACGGAAGTATAAATCAAGAGGCTGCGCACAACCATTCATTCATTCCTGCAGAAGACATGCGGAAGCGCTGCCTCAGCGACTTGTGCGAGGAGGTCTGCAGTTGGCCCGAAGTAGAAGTGGGCGAGAGTGATGCATGGTAGCCATAGTGATAGGATAGAGGTAGCCAGCGCTGCCATAGCTGCAGCTTAGGACGAAGTGTGTGAATGTTGTGTGAGTGTGCGGAGTGTCGCGTGTGGGATATCCAGGGTGGTCCAGTGTGTGTGAACAGCGCTGAGTCGCCATAGCCAGAGGAAGCGAACACTTACCTGGAAGCCATATCTCTGAGTATTGTGTGGGTGCATGTCGCCAGTTTGTTGTGCTGCTGTTCACGTGCATGAAAAGTGTGAATAAGTCGAGTCTGATTGCACAAGAGACCAAACCGACACACGGCGCAATATATCCTGATAAGCAGCCTCGATTGCCCCCTCGGTGAGGAAATCAGCTGCTCATCTGTTATGGAAATGGAATACCCCCTCCAAAACCCTTATCATCTACTAATAAGGAGGAGGGGAATTCGGATCGGGGATGTATAGAATCTAGTAAAACGTCAGCGCAGCACATGGCCAGATGTCAATGAATCCAGATAGGCAATAATACTTATTTGTACTGCTACTTGCTGCCGTGACAAATCTTTGTTTATTGCAAGCTCGCCAGATCCCCAGCGATCATCATCGAAATCAGAAACCAGAATTGACGAGCAGAATCATTACAAATTGCCCACAACTGCCTCCCCCCACGATTCTCAGGGTCCGTGAGCACGTTTTAAACGGGGAGATCAAAGCACTACCTATCCTACCCCTTCCCGCCACGAACGCTCCCCCCGCAATCCCGCGCCCTCTTCCTGTTCAACGCATATCCCAATCGCCCAACCCTCTCGCCCCTGACCCCGATCGTTCCCCACAGCATACGGAAAAGAAAGCAGGATGGAAGAAGAAGGCTGGGAAGATGAAAGCAAGCGGATCACACTTACTTCCCTACAAGTGTCCTCCCTCTGTTTGGTGTCATTGTCGGTTTCATTAATGCATGCTGCGTAATTGACATTGTTATTATTGTCGTTTTCATCGCAAGGACTGTCATCATTCATAACCACATCGTCAGCAGCGAGGCGACCGCAATATCGTCATCGTCATCCTCGTAAAGACACTCATCGATCTCGGCACACAGACCCCGCCCCTCCTCAAGGCCCCTGCCACCGCGACTTGTGAGCGCACCCAAGCATAGTCGATCCACACATTCCACACAGAAGGGCGGCCCCTCTTCCTGCCCCCACTCCTCGTCAGCCTGCTCAAGCAGCCCCCATTGCTGAACACAGCTCAAAAGTATTCGATGACCTCGCTGCTGCAGATAGTGATGTTATCGTCGTGGATGTCATTATTGGCAATACAACCGTTGATGATGTAATTGTAGTCGATGTCAATTTTGTTCTTGCCGTTGTTGGTGAAATTAGTGTTGTTGATGATGTTGTGAAAGATGTTGGAGCTGTTGATGTTGTCTGTATTTCAGTGCTTGGCAGACCACTCACATGTCTTCTCGCCAGAAGGTCAGAAATCTTATCTTTAATTTGCTACACCATTTCAACGCAGTCGTAGAAAACGGCAATCGGCCGCGCTCTATCACCCGCGTCCTGCTGTCGAGAAGCGATCAGTTCATAAAGTTCATCATCCAACCCATCGTAAATCTCCTCTCCCTCCAGTAGAACATCGTATGGCAGATCCCCGTTTGCTTGGCACAGCGCCACATGCATCTCCTCCAATTGCAGTTTGTAAGTTATCGCGATGGACTGCGCAAACACTTCCTCCTCAGCGTGCAGGTCCAGCGGGGTTCCCCGCAGCCCCCCTTGAAGCGAAGTCTCCATGCCCCCCTCCATCATTGCTGATAATGTCAAAGCCGCCACCACTAAACGTCGCTGATAATGTCAAAGACGCCACCGCTAAACGTCGACGTGTCAAAAAGTTCTACGGCTGGTGCTACCCCTGTCCGCGCGTTGTGGGACACGTGCGTCACCAACAGCAGACGCCACGTGGCAAGACACCACGCACGTCTACTGGGGGCGCGCACAGGCCCAGCACCAGAGGAATCCCTCCCGGGCGCTAGTCGAGCCAGCGGCCCCGGCCTTGCCGGACCGGCAGCGACGAGGCGCTAGCACTAGCGCAACTTCGGTCAAATGTCTCGTCCGTTGACCAAGCCGGAGATTGGCTCCGGGATTGACGACAAGGAAATACCGTGAAGGGCGAGTAGTTGTCTATTCTTGCTGCAAGCATCTGTTTCAGACTAGTTAAAAGTAGGAGTAGAATTGTTTGCAGGGAGAGTAGTCTATTCTCGCTACAAGCATCTGTTTCAGACTAGTCAAAAGTAGGAGTAGAATTGTTTGCAGGGGTCTGAAACTATCTGCTGTTACCGCTTGACTGCTTTCTGATAAATCTGGACCGTATATTTGAGTTTTATTTATTAAGCGGTTGGGTGCCACGCTGCGGTAGGTCCCAGCGAGGACACTAGTTCAGATTGCATGCCACGTGTAGCCCTGGGGTGAAGATGACATTGAGGTTGAGACACATAGACTAGGATGCGGGGAGGATTGCCAGAGGACAAACACTTTGTTGGCCGGCCACTTGCTTGGTGTCAAAGATCAGGCGAGGAAAGGAGACAGCGGAGAGCTGCTAAGGGGAGTTGGGTCTCGTAGAAGGTGCAGGTGGCAGGAGCCAACACAATGATGGCACTAGCAGCTGTAGCGGCAGCGCACGTTAGAGCCAAGGCTGAGGCAGCAAAGGCTACCGTTTCTGCAATGTCCCAGGTCTCTTCCCAGGCCTCTTCGATAAGTGTTAGTCAGGGCATATCAGGGCCTTGCACTAGTCAGTCTGTTAGCGTGCAGGACCACCAGCAACAACCCTTGTCAGTGGAGGACGTTAAGATTAGAGAAACGATGCCCTTCACACAGAGTTACAACGCCTGATACAAGGGGTAGAGGATATACGAGATAGAGCTAGGAGAAGAAAGCCTAGACTAGAGGCGAGGGAGGTGGAACTAAACAGGTTAGAAGCTTTTGGATGTGGAAGCCCCTAATGAGCGGACACGTCGGTCCAATCAGTGTGGCCAAAATACAGGTCGTGTCTGAGGAAATGCTGGCCACATTGAAAGCCGGTCAGAATTCAATTATGGCTGCGGAGAGAGTCCCCAAGTCTACGGTGAGGCCTGCGCATCCTGTTGTAGTTCCCCCAGCGGTGGCCGGTGAGTCTGTGTCGTTGCTGCCTATGAGCGGTCTCTTAGTACCTTAGTACGACATATTTCCAGCAGGCAGTTCATCAGTAGATAGTGGTGGCAGACTCCAGGATCCGCTTCATCTGTCCCCATATCAACTGCTGCAACTACAGTGCGGCAGTCGGACCAGCGGCTTGTGCAGCAGGTTACGCAACCTGTTCCGCCGGTTCAGTCACCGGTGCAGCATGCACA